GCTTAATGGTAAAAGGACCATGCGAACATGTTTTAAGAAATCTCAAGCCATATTTTTCAGGAGGAGATAAGACCAAACATGATCAGTTATACTTTTTTCTTATTAGTATAAATCAACACACGAACATATCGCTGACCTGATCCCTGTCACATTAATTTGATGAATAGTTGTTTAAAGATATAAAAGCGAAAGTCCTATAGAGAAGTTATCTTTTAACAAATATCTGTCATAGGGGCATGTAAATTAATGACATTTTAAAACAAGTTTATATTTTTTGATAGGAACCGCAACATTTCCAACTATTTAGCCAAACATTTCATAAAATAATCACAAGCAGAACGCATTGTTTAAAAGGTTAAAATAGATAGTTAAAATCTATTTTCCGAAGTTTTAGTTTTAGTAATATAAATTTTGTTTTAATTATGGATAACGAAGTAAAGTATCTACAATAACCCACAAAATTATGTTTGGAGGTGCAAGTCAGTCATCGTTGGTAGCTATAAGAATATCTTTATTAAAATGTGTTTGTCGTGGGAATATGTTTTATTAATTGTGAAATATGCTCTGTTTCTTTATATAACGATTTCATTTCTTTATAATAAAGTTCTGTTTGGAGAGTTCAGCTCTGATTTTATGTTTCTCTTTTTAACATTCGCTCAGTTTATTAGCATACATACAGGGAAAACTGTATTTTTCATATACATTAACTCATCTTTAGTAGTCTGATGAAGTTGTGTTTCCAAGGCAGAATTAAATACTTATTTAATACATTGTTAACAGTGAAGTCTTTCAGAACAAATATGGGGTTATTCAACTCACTGTCTCATTAAATTGACTATAAATATGTTAACACGTTGTAATTTTGCTGATCGCTGGAAATACCTACGCCTAAATCTATCACTTTACAACCATGTGGTGACGGAATAGTGACGCATTACCTGTGTCAAATAGAACTGAGTGTTATCTAGGAGTTGTAACATGAAGTTATTATCGAATGTTTATATATACACCTATGTTACATACCAGGCCAGAGTTTTAGGTGAGTAAATTACCAAAGTGTGTGGTTTTGTGTGAAACTGGTATTTCAGCGATCGATCATCCTATGTTCTGTTAAATTTACACATTCACGCACTTCAATGGTTCATTCTATTCTAGGAACAAGAAAAATACCTATTTTTTCTTGTCATTGTCAATGGCACGACAGATTGTAAATTAAAAATTAATTACACTTAATTCATTAAACAATGTAACCATCCAATATGAATATAATTATAGATTAATAACCTCTTTTTTCCTCTAATTGTTATTATGTTTTGGGAAAGTGCTTATGTAAATTTTTAATGATTTGTGCCCGATCTTATTGCTGATTATGTTTGCATGATTTTCCGGATGACTACCTCAGAATATAGAAAATCTTAGATAATCTATCTGACTTTTTTTTACCAATATCACGAACTGTTATAAAGATTCAAAAGGATAAATCTGCGTAAAGATGAAAATGAATAATATTCTAATAAAAAACCTACTATGTCTATATATATCCTGGTATATCGCCTAATCATTAGCTGATCATCACCTGGGCTTAGAGCACTTGTGAATCTGGTATTTTAACATATATAAATGTCATTTTCTCACACTAATTATCGTCATTGCCAAATACTCATTGTACAGTTCACTTATGACGTCATAGCGTATCATATCATAAAATGTATTTTTACATATATAATAAAATGTAAAGTGACACTATGATATGTTAATGGTGTCAGAGCTCAGAATATGTTAATGGTGTCAGATTTTTTTTTTTTTACGTTTTTTTCGATCAGTTTGGAATTTTTCTCAGTCTTAAGCTAGATTGCAAAATTTTGACCCTTGGTATCATTGACGAGTAGGATGAAGCATTATTTGTCTGTTATGTATCTAATTCAACATTCACGTTAAAATGTGCTATTATCTTTATGTCTTTTGTATAAGCTCTCTATCCTCAATATTGAACATTTTGAATTTATGTAACCTACTCGCCAAAACTGTCAGATGTGTTTTATTTTTTTATTGAACTAAAGCTATTTCAAGCTGTGATGCAAGTCAAATGCAAAATTTAGATATATGATATAGTTTCATGTTAGTATGATATAGCAGGGCACCTTACATTGGCTTATATGTATCATTGAATTCGTTGTTCATAAATGTGTGACATTTTAGTAAAGTGATATATCTATAATCTCCGCACAGATGTTGTAGTTTGTCATATACATGATTTTTATTTGTTTTACCTTAGTCTCCCATTATCGGCCTTTAAGTATATGTATCCGTGATTTTATAGCATACTGAAACGTGTTTGTAGGCTTATTTTCCTAGTATAATACTTAGTATTCAAACATAACGTGAGTTAACGTGGCAAAAAGACATCAGACATGTACGGTGTCATCCTCTTATTATAGGTAATTCTTCATACCAAGTGTGTGTAAACAATCCAGATTAGACAAAATTGGAAGTCACCAGCGATTCGGTACTGGTATCGGTTATTTCAATGAAGTAACGGGTTTTAATGTTATTTCCTTGTGATGAATATTGTTTCTCTATTTTTAGCAGGAAGTTGATCACGGATATCGGGTACACGCCTTCATTGGTTGATACGTTGAGGAAGTGAGTGTAGTGCGAACCAAACTAATGCATCATATCATGGAGACTGTGATATCAATTAACACGGCTAATAAAGATTTCTTGTACATACTCATTATCAATATCATTCACGGAAGACGTCAAGCTGTATGAATGGCCAATTTGTTAATTTAACTTCTATTTTCTGGAGCTGGTAAGGAATATGATAACGAATGCTTTGCACCAGGAACATTGGCGATATCGCATTCCAGTGTGAATTGTCGAACTAATTCTTGTAAATATACTTCTAATAGTCCCAGTAATACACATGTCTCAATTATATAACTATACGTCTCGTTACGTGTCAGTTAAACAAATATGTGTAACAGTAATACACGTCTCAATTATATAATTATAGTCCCGTAACGTGTCGGTTAAACAAATATGTCTAACAGTAAAACACATGTCTCAGTATTTTAGTATAATGCGTTCCAGAAATAACTGGTTATCTGGTGTTATAAATAGGATTCAGAAATATGGATACATCGGAAAGGGTAAAATTCTCTACAATAATGTAGCGATATATTGTTGTGAGCTGAATATCTACAAGTACTCTGCCGAATCATCTTTGCTCAAAATAGTTTCAATAAAAACGTTAAAAACAAAAGTTGTGGCTCGAGAGATGATAAGAGAACAGTTTGCTTTTGTTTACAAGTCATGACCGTTTGCTTTTCCCAGCTGGCCAAGAAGTAATCGAAGTTGTTTACAAACTCCGGATCCGGGACCCAGGGTGAAGGTCAGGATATACCGGTACAATAACAATGTCAGATATCTGTATGAGAGAGAATAGGTATGCCAGTTTATTCTATTTGTCGTAAAGTTGTTTACGTATAGACGATCCGTGCGCCACTTTCACGCTTCAGGAAAAAGACATGACCGATTAATTAGTTTTCATATATTAGTTAGTTCTCTAGAGTTTTGAAGAAAGTCCAGTTTTGTGATAAAGTCTGGCATGGAACATATTCTCGGGGATATAATAACGGTCGTATGAATTGAAGATTAATAACAAGTAACCATGGATTTCTAAGGCAAACACGTGTGTTTATTTGAATCGAAGGGCCATTAAGATCGGTTGCAGCGCGGTGTTGATGTAAAATGGTGATGCCTTGGCTCAGAACTTGTATGAAAATTACAGCGAGAGTCAGATTGTCCCTGCATTGATGTACTTTCTACCTCTCAAAATGACCGCCAACAATGGCTTACGTTTTTTGTGCGATTTCTCATATCACATTCGCACTGCCCCTCCCCGCACCTGTCTGTGTCATTGACAATCATTATTGACAATCCAAGCGACAGCTGTTGACCAGGTCCGTGCTCGCGGGCTCCGCGTGGCAAGGGACCCATATGTTACTGGACAGGGCGATTACTTGAAAGATTATACTTTTTTTTCTGGAAAGACCTTCGCACTTCGAGAGAGAAGGATGAAATATTTTATTTTAGAGTTTTCGTGTTAATTCCCATAAGTTGGTAATAAGGACAGAATTCTGGGTAAAACCAGTATTTTCGAGTATAGTGCATACGTAATGGACTGATGACCCAGTCGCTTTCATGGAAATTATATAATGCGTCGCAGTTTCTGTTTGCTTATGAAACAACGTTGCATTTAGGTCACCTTTGGGATTTCCCAATATTTCGGTTGATTATTCATTTCAGTGTTCAGAATTTCCATTTCGGAATTAGTATAGGAAGAAAATTGTGAAATCAATATGAATCATTTCGATATAATGCGATGTAAGCATGATGATGAATGCACACTCCGAACCACGCCCAGGCGGTTATTCTACACGTGGTAGTTCTACCCGGCAACTCAGTGTCTTCACAACAATGTATCGATAATTACTCCCCACGATACAATAACGACCAGAGTGGTTACACCTCAGGGACTCTTTACAGACGAATGTGTCTTCAATATCTTTCTAAAATTAGATATGAACACAAGCAGGTCACGCGCATAAACCTTCTATGATGTTGTTCTTACTTCGTAATAAAATAGATATGATTAAGTTCTAAATATAGAGAACGCTGACTTTTCTTCTTACATATATGTGTCGTCTGCTGACTCAAGTCCGCGCGTCGTCTAATGAATGACTTTAAATATGTCACATGTATTGTGAAATATCCAATAAGATAATCACGCACGTTCCCGATTTAAATATCGCGATCAGTAGCTAGTAACGGTTGAGTCAGCACCAGGCACTGTTATGTTGTGCAGTGACGCTGACAAAACAAATGAAACTAACACTTGACGTCATAAGGTCAGGCTTCGACCGGATTGCGCGCGCAGCTCCGTGTTTACCTCGTCTGTTATGTTACTGCGTCGCTAAAACTCTACGTGTTTAGCATAATCAATTCGTACCGAGTGTTCGTATCAAGATGGACGCAGTTCTACCGGCTCTAGGCGATCGCGTGTTCAAAGCGGATTACATAAAAAAGAAACGACTGAGAAAGGTGAGATTTGACAAAAGTATACCGGTTGGATATTTGTATTTAATTGTAAAGGTTGTTAGTTGTGTCATTGTCTATTTCGTGAGTTGTTAGATAAACACTCTGATACCATGCCGCAACATTTGTTTTGTAGGTCGATATATGTTTCGAATGGCAGTTGCATAAGTAGGCGTAAATAAAAAGTATGTAATTTAACATTCACGACAGTGTGTTACATGTTAACGACCTGGATGGCTCTAACCATACGTTGTTTTTATTTTTAGGGTAAATCCCAGTACTTGGTAAAATGGAAGGGGTATTCATCGAAGTAAGTACATGTGTTGTTTTACTATACATTTTATCTTAGCCTGCATGTTACGTAATCACGGCGTCATGACACTATCTGTTTATACCCATGACAACTATTGCTATGATACCGATGACAACTTTGCTATGATACTGGTCCTATAATTATGAAGTTTCCAGAACTCCAGCGTTTTGCTGATGCGACATTACCATCGTGTGCTGTTCTGCTGCGCGTGGTTTTGACCGTGACCTTCGAGTTGTTTACAACTCTGTGTAGGCCAGTTTCTGCACAACTTCCTTGTAAAAGGTTTATGCAGTTACGTTTGAGTAGTTTAGCAAGTTTCAATAGTTTAACTCGTCCAGCGAGTGGATTTGACAGGTAGTCTACGTTCAAGATGTGATTTGAAGTGGCGAGTGTGTACGTGTATATAAGTGATGGATGGGTGGTTAACCTATGTCAACCTACACTACTTTACTCGAGCAGGTTCGGGACACAGAAAAAAAATTGATAAAAATGTTTCGTTTAAGTATTACATCAACTGACTACTGTGAACTATAATGATACACGAGATATCGTGCTTTGTTCAAGTGTTAGCAACGTTTTTAACAATTAACGTATCGACGTCTCCTGAATTATCTTATAACATTAACACTCAGTAAAACACGAAATATGTCGGTATGCTGAACATGCTTGAACTTCTTGTCCGGTTTTGCCGGCTTGGTACTCATATACACGTCTACAGTTCCGTTTCACTTGTGCTGCAGGTGTCCCTCAGCACAGCCAGCGAACCGGTACTTCCTTATTCCTGGAATAATAACTGTCGCTGGCATTGGACTTTATTTATACGACTCATGTGCATGTGACTTCATAAGTTCGTAGTAATTTAACACAGGAAACAGATTCATGTGGGTTTTCACATAAAAGTATCTTAAAATTTTTACTCAGTTGGAGCATTTTTATCCCTCTCTGTCCGTTTCTGTAATATTGTTTTCTTTTCTTTATAGATTAATCCAGTTGAAAATGTTGAAATTGACCGACATAATTAGGTGTAGTCTTTGGCTACACTATTAGTTGGCACAGTGTTTGAATTTTTCTGTGTTTCTGGTGGGTCTAGAAAGCTCTCGTATCGTCCTCTGTGTTTAAAACCCGGGAGAATATCAGTAGGCCCTTCTTGTTGTAGGCCTTTAGCGCTTTATAATTATCCAATCGGTTGTAGGCCTAGAGCGCTCTGGTGTTGCCCTTTCTGTTGTAGGCCTAGAGCGCTCTGTTGTCCTTTATGTTGTAGGCCTAGAGCGCTCTGGTGTTGTCCTTTCTGTTGTAGGCCTAAAGCGCTCTGTTGTCCTTTATGTTGTAGGCCTAGAGCGCTCTGGTGTTGTCCTTTCTGTTGTAGGCCTAAAGCGCTCTGTTGTCCTTTATGTTGTAGGCCTAGAGCGCTCTGGTGTTGTCCTTTCTGTTGTAGGCCTAGAGCGCTCTGTTGTCCTTTATGTTGTAGGCCTAGAGCGCTCTGGTGTTGTCCTTTCTGTTGTAGGCCTAAAGCGCTCTGTTGTCCTTTATGTTGTAGGCCTAGAGCGCTCTGGTATTGTCCTTTCTGTTGTAGGCCTAGAACACTCTGGTGTTGCCTATTCTGTTGTAGGCCAAGGGCATATTTGTATTGTCCTTTCTGTTGTAGGCCTAGAACGCTCTGGTGTTGCCTATTCTGTTGTAGGTCTAGAGCGTTCTGGTGTTGCCTTCTCTATTGTATGTCTAGAGCGCTCTGGTGTTACCTTTTCTGTTGTAGGCCAAGGACATATTTGTATTGTCCTTTCTGTTGTAGGCCTAGAGCGTTCTGTTAGTCCTCACTGTTGAAGGTCGTTGTAGGCCAAGAGCGCTGTGGTATAGCATTTTCTGTTGTAGGTTTAGAATACACTTGAGCTTTACTTTGTGTTGTTAGTGTAGGATGTACTGGAGGTATTCTGTTTTGACCTTGGTTGAACAGGATTTGATTTAACATTATCCAGATCAACCACGCGAAACAAAGACATCTAGCTTGCACCCCTGGCGTAAACCTGTTTCGTGAATTTCAGTAATGTTACTTTTTGCATACGGTTTTGGTGCAGACAGTGCACACTACTGCCCTGTGACTGTGGCGTGACCACAGACATGCTATGTGTAGGGGTTGGACAGCAGGATATCACCCAGACGATATCTCGCGTATCGCTACACGTGAATCAGTGCATTAGAATGGCAGCACGTGGTCACCCATATATCACACTATACGGTCTAATGTACTAGGGAGCTGTCACCTGTGGTGCTACCCGATACACAACTAATACTCGCACACATACACACTCGTAGGTACATTTCGGTCACGTGAAATGGACATGTTATCTGTGGTTTAGAAGTACGTCTTCGTGTACAGATAAACGTTAACTATGTGAATGCGTATGTAACTTTTATAGTAAGTTATTGTTATATTGTTTAGCTTTACGACGTGTGTTGGTGTGTACACCTTCCTACGTCAACGTAGATCGTGTTTGTGTATGATTATCATCGATAAAACGTCTACCCGGTGGAGTATCATATCATTTGATGGGCTAAGTACATAGCTTTGGAATACCGGTAGATATATATATAGTTTTAGAATACTGGCAGTGAATGCATTTTGTTCGCATTAGAAATATTGCATATGAAGAAGTAGTCATTCGAAAATCTTATTTCAACATTTTGTTCCAGGGAGTGTACGTGGGAACCAGAAGAAAATATTTTGGATCCTCTCCTCATCAAGGAATACATAGAACGGTAAGGGCATGGCGTGGTCACTTAAATAGCGCTGTAGTAGTATTTGAAAGTATTACCGGATGTTGTACTGCTGTATTGTTTCAATATACTGTAGCGATACGTGTTTTACTTGTCAGCTTCCGGATTTCTTTTGAACGGAAGACTTTTCTCTGGACGTCGTTCATTTTTCTGATAATTTGTGATATTTAATACTCATTTAAGGGAACGCATTTTGGTCAGGGGACAAGTGGGACGCCTGAGAGCGATAGATATGATTTTGTGGTATGTAATCGATATATATTGGACAAAGTTGTCATCGTTATTTATTGCATTTTGTAGACCTTACTCTCGGCGTCTGGGCAGGCGGAGGCTGTGCGAGGTATGTACTTACAATTCACGAAAAATGTTTCATGACGTCATAGTCACAGATAAATGGGATGTAATTGACGCTTCCATCCTATTTAACGCCCTCTTTCGCCCTCGCACAAAACTATTAATATCAAGATCGATAACTGAAGTGCCGGTTTGGGCTGAATTAACATCGTGCGTTAGATTAAAGTGATGTTAAGTGAACGATATTAGAAGTGATGTGCTGGATTGTGTCAACATCTCATCAATAATTCTCGGGGAAATAAAACAAAGACATTATACTATTTCCTTAAAAGGCGATATCGTCACAGACACTAATGCCTAGATGTGTTACACGACCAAATCCATAAGGTTAGGCCGTAGCTGTACGATCTGATACGACCCTTCACAGTAAACCTTGAAATACCAGTGTCCACACTGTTCCAGTCGTCATACCTGTACACCTAACATGTCCTATTTCACAGTTTTCAGGTAATTAAATACAGGTGTATAATCAATGCGTCATGCATTGATACTTTAATATGTTAATAAGAAGTATTATCTCCCACAAATGTTAGTTATAACTATGAAGATTTCTTAAATATATAACATGTCATCGTCTTTTACTAGGTGTAGATAATTTCAGACGTTATCGGATTTCCAGTTATAAATTTCTTGATTCATCCGTTTCGTACAGACAAAACCTGTCTGTGATTCATACACACTGTAAAAGACAATGATTCATTGAACATCCTCGACATCGACCCATTATTATTGGAATCGAGTTGAAATTCCAAATTAGTCATCTGGCCATGGCGTGACGACCCCAACACACGTGTATAACAGCAACTTGGGTACAGTGTTAAGACTAGTAGAGTACACCCGCTAATGTCCCGCCTACACTGTACAGATCGTTAACTTACTGTGTATTGTTTGTATATATGTAGTCATTGGTATGTTGTATTCATAAGTTTTGACTACAATAATGTCCCTGTACATACGTTAAATACCTTTGGCAGGCATCCTTAATGCAAAAGATCAGAAATATGATTATACATGTATTTCACTTGAACAACAACGTATGATAGATCAGTAAAGTACGTACCTGATTAATAAAAGACGATTTTGTGTAATAACGCTGGAATATTGACGCACTGAGTCAGGCTTACTAAGCAAGTCGTCGTTGTTTTGTTTTTTGTTCGTTATAATAGACACTTCTTTTGGTTTACAAACACCCCCGCTTCATTTAATTGACTGTTTTCTAAAATCATGTTTAATCTATATTGGGGATCAACTCCACATTTATGTATTCGTCTTGGCGTATGATATATTAGGATAGATAACATGATCTCCTAGATTATTCACGTATTAATGTGTGTACTATAATATCTATTCGCAGGTGTCGAAGCGAGTGCCACTTACTACACTATATCCCTATACCCCTTCCTCCCCCGAAGAGACCAACAACAACCTACCAATAGACCTGTTCCCGTTTGATAGACAAGACACAAGCGAGGAAGCCAAAGGTCCTGATGATGGATACCTAACCGAAGATGCACATATAAAGCTGGGGTCGGTTGGGAGTGACCGAGGTACAGATGAAACACCCGCGAATGAAGTACGTACACAGCAGTGCGCCGTGTGTAACAACGGCAATCATTACACCATCCCTGGAACATGTTCATGTGAAGGTCAACGTCGAGACAGGAACTTCTTTGATTGGGTATCGCAGACCCGTGCGTTTCACGCGACACAACTCCAGGACAAAGATCTTTGTGACAAATCTGATGACCAGTTCTCTGATGAGTCGACAGTGAAGTATGTATCAGATGACGATATGACATGTGGTTATCGATCAGATAGTGTGAGCGACGAGGAGATGGAAGTTTTACCTGCCCCTCCCTCGCCTTCCCATTATGAAACATCAGTGGAAGAAGATCCCCCGGCAGATGAATTACTTGTTACCAATGTTACTTGTAACGAAATCACGGTAACATTCATCGAAAGTCCCACGAAGGCAGGCTTTTTCAAGGAGGGTCGTGAGGAAGGTCCGACGGGATAGAAAATGGGGTTGATGATATTCCTTAAACAATAGCCCATGTGCTAAACAAAAGAGGACCAAAGTTGCCACGCCCACTTTTGCTTTTCAGCAGACAAAGTTTGAGTGGCACTAAAAGTTTCCCTTCGAATTCGTGTTCAGTCATACAGGTTTCCATTTTCTGTTACGTACATGTAGTCGTGCACCCTTCTGTAATGCCGATGTTCTCTAGTGACCAGTACATGTGTGTGAGGGGATGAAGACGAGTCCAGTGTCTGGACGAACCACGGCGGAGATGGTGTTGCACTGGTCAGCTTAGCTCCTGTAGTTTGTGTTGAGGTGGCCTGACAGGTCGCTCGGACCAATGTTTTTAGAAGACAAGTGCAATATTGATCTGGCTGCGTGACGTAATACCGGTACAGCCAGATATATACATGCGTCATGGATTAATGACTGTAACGCAAGTCTTGATGAATGGTGCCATGATCGGCGGGAGATTTTACTTTTTTATTGTTAATACTTAATAATGTTATTAAAGGTGAAACAGATGCAATGGAAACGTCGTGTCTCTTAGTTTACATGTTATGGATTGGGAAAAAATCAAGAGGTCATCTAATCGTGATGAGATCTGATTCAAAGTTACTTTCCTTAACAATTAATTACAGGCGCAATACACGAGTTTTCAGACCAGTAAAAGTTTCCTAGAATATGGACAGCTAGAATGCTTGATGGTTATATAAGAAATCTAAACCTATATACTTACCAATATTGATATAGGTAATAAACCACGTGGTAAATCAATAAACATGTCAAATCGATCAGTAATGTAGATACAACTAAATGTTAGCTCCTGTTTCATGTATGATCGGACGCAATTAGACTCTAAAAAGTCCACTATCATGGATAGTGTCGACGCTCTTACCATTCGGCTTGTCAAGTCGGTCATACCACCGCGCGACTGATACTGAAGCCTGTAAATCCCGAGTTACTCGACACTGATCCTAAGCTTTTTAAACGTTTAGATGACACTGAAACAATTCCGCTTTTAGCATGTTCCTTTTCCGCCTCGTCGTTCACATGTGTCCTAGTTGGACACCCAGTAACTGCAATCTTAAACGTTATCTATTATGAAAAAATGCGAAGTATGCAACGTATCGAGACACTCCTGATATTTACTGGAATATGGATTTCGAGACACTGACGTATCGTGGAAGTCTCCACCAGAAATTTGTAAAAACAGGAAGATGATTCATTGGGTTCAATATCAAAAGTACAAACTTTCGTTTTCAACCAAATTAGTAGGTAAAACCCGAAACTGAGAACTAAAGAAATCTATAATCCTTGATTTTGATGTCAAAACCATACTGAAATGCGTTGCATGATTATGTATGCTGGTTTTGTATGAAAAAGGTCGCCAATACGATGATCGTTTTATAGGGTACCAGTTGCTGCTTAAAAACAAACACAGAAGTCCACTTGTATAGTTTGGTAGTAATTTGTCCTCGATGGAGATGTTGTAAATAAAGAGCAGGGTAGGCGACTAACCAACACTGACGAGTCCTAGGAAGACGAAACATCATGCAGCATAATTCAATCTGCATTAGCATGTGCTATTAACTTGTGTGTCTTGACAACCAGCGAGGAAATGGACCTGAACTGAACAAGTGTGGTTGTTAACAACGTTCGATTGGTGACCCAAACACTTGTTACTCTGGGAGTTGATTTGATGGATGTGGATTTCGGTGACCTATTTATACCATTCCTCAACCAGAGTTAGGGACACATTGGCTGTGTGTTATGCGTCTTCTACAGGAAAGGCATACGCTTTACAACATTACTATAATGATCTATGAGATATATTTTTGTGCAAAAATGATGCCCATGATGAAGTAAGGATTATTGTCGCACTGCTTATTCAATAACGCTACAGAATCGTTTACCCCAGCGCTTACCCTGATCTTTTGTTACAACCTGACTCACATATGACAAATTACCACCGAACTTTACAAGCTATGTAACATTCTTGATACCTCATTCATGATATTTAATTACCAAGATTTAGTAGTAGATACTGGCTGCTGATGGGAAAATTTACGACGATGTTTATCGAGATGAAAAGCGCTTGATGGCTGTTCGTTTCTCTGTGTTAAGGATGGGATAATTTTTGGTTTTGCTATTTCTCTTGTACCGTTTCTGTTCGAGTTCCCCCGTGTTAAGATAAAGTCCATGTATGTGCATATTGTACACCTGATGTTCGGATGCATGATTGATGACAATGTTAGATAGCTTATTATTGTTTATAATCCTATATATGAATAATACTTGTCGATGTAATCTTTCTCTGTTTATTGGGAACATAACACAAAGGGAAATAACTCGCTTTAAAGCCCAAACTATAGTAGGTTTTAAAATCCTTGCAACTGCGAGGAATTGGCACAGATTCCAACCCAATTGTCAGTTTATAAGACTATGCACTGTTAACTTAAACGCATGTCCGCGTGTTTGCAGCAGTCACATATCTGTAGACACTGCTGTATTTTCAAAGACCACCGCAGCTAACCCTTTATCCTGATACTGTTCTATAATCCGGTCTTCAATCGGACGACAATTCCTGTAACAATGTGAGTATAACAAGAGTATTTAAACTATTCACAACGACACATATTTCCCAATGAAGATTAAATGTCGCCGAGTGTTGCTGTAAATACTATATTAGCTTATCACCAGGACAGTCGGTGTTAAATCCCAAGTAGATTAGGTTTCAGGCTATGTTTCTTCCGCTTTCCACGAGTGTTCGTGTTTATTGTACGCAGAAAAACTTCTTGTCTGCTTCCATCCTAATCAAAAAGAGTAATTGATATCAGTTTTTTTATAACATCACGGTTCAGTTACACCCTATATGAAATAAATGAAGTCTTCGTTTTCATATTGGCGAAACCAGAAGTATGGAGAAAACCATTTCATCTTCACATGGAACTTCCTTTGTGCGTTAAATGAATAATTCAGCCCAGCTCCGAGAGACACGTAAATAAACAGCAGCCGAGTTTACAAATTTACAATTTTATAGAACTGCATCACTGAGTATTGTCGTCATTCTATAACTTGTCAGTGATGCTACGGGCTTCAATTTGCAAATCAAAATGCATTAAAAGAAATATCAAAAGCTAGATGAGGGGATGCTCTTGTCCCATAGTTAATTAAATTTCGTAATTTTCATGTGTTTGATAATTTCAGAAGAATGCTATGTACGTATATTCTGAACAGTGGTTACTTCCGCATGAATAAAATCGTGTCAGGTATGTGGACTAATTATATATATATAATATCCAGTGTCTTTCTGTCTGTTGCATTGCGTAAAACATGCAGATGTTAAGGAAACGGCCCTTCTTAACTAGTTGTACTGCAGGCAGGAGATCACTTTTCTCCTGTGACGTCATTAAACAAGTATATTTTGTTTGGCAGGCAAACGAATATTGAATAGACATGTTATATCACACTTGAAAATATTTCTGTGGTAATACTCCCAGAATATCTAACCAAACGTGACATGTAAACACAGTAGTTCAGCATATCATAGTTTCGAGAAAAGCGTTCTTCCTGTTGCCCTTGTTGTGAGTAAAGATTGAGATAAACTGTTGGTGTAGAATAGTTTGTCGTGGCCTTGATGTTCATTTCATATCTTGATATTTAATTAGATCATCACTATCTACTAAAGTGAAGTTGCAGGATTTTTCTTACCTGCTTTGATACCTTATTAGATATATTCTGCCTCGTATAAAAACGAAACAATCTGGTCAGCCAAAAGAAGTAATTGCACACTTATTTCGATGGGTATGTCAATAATCTGGTTGAGGATTCTGCTACTGAATTCAACGTAGACACTGTCAATTACCGTCACAACCACATACTTGATAAAACTCTCATAATGGTTGTGTACCGAATGTTTAATCAATTGTCCTGATGTTTTTCTATATACGTCACGTTCTAAAGATTGTTCTAACCAAAGCTGTAAGAAGTTTGGATAAAAGTTTGGTTTAACAACTTGACGAAACTGCATTAAACCTTTGGCTATATAGATTCTTGTAAAATGAAGAAATTCAATTTAAGAATAAACATTCTTACCATTATCATTAAACGATAATCTGAATGCAGCAAGCCTACTTTCCGTAAGCAGAGAAGGTAAGTGTCTGAAAGTAAGGAAATGATATGTTTTATCTTCCGACCAAATTCAGAAACATAAGTAGGGCATAGAATATGCAAGAATTTTTCACATGGTGAAATATCAAAGACTAAATTTTGGAAGAATAAAATAAGAATAAAGAATGCACACATGCAAATCCAATGATTATGCATCCAACATGATAACTGGTAGAGGTTCCTAGTACGAATACTTGTGGCGTGATTTCACTATTTCCATCTTTGGACGGACTTTTGTTTATTAATGGATAGCCAGCCGAGACCGCGTCACAATTAATGACTCAGGTGGTATATGAAAACACAACGCGAGACAACACCGGTCTTTTAATCTTCATGCGAGGTATGGCTACACCAGAGGTCTTTTAATCTTCATGTGGGGTATGGCTACACCAGAGGTTTTTTAATCTTCATGTGAGGTATGGCTACACCAGAGGTTTTTTAATCTTCATGTGGGGTACGGCTACATCAGAGGTCTTTTAATGTTCATGTGGGATATGGCTACATCCGACGGGAGTATTCTCAATAGGAGAAATACATTCAAAATGTCCGTCCATATGAATGGAGGGAAGAATAGAAAGGTTCTGTTTTTCCATGTGAAATCATTATTCCCATAGGTCACAAGAGCATATTCAACCCCCCCCCCTCTTGACGATATCCCATTTCTCCAACTCCCTCCATTGCCAGTCAAAGCTGTCATTACTTCGTAATGTTCCTAAATGGATTTAAGTACACAGGTGTTTTTGTTTTCATTAGACAACACTTTAACCTGAGCAGTAAATGCCGTATCTGACCATTTCGACTTCTCTTTAATAAGAAACTATTTCAGAAGATTTACACGTGGAATATTTCTGATAGCCTTAGATAAACTATTCAAAATTTTGATTGAACTGAGCAAGCACGAATTCGAATAAAATTTTGATTTGCATGGAACAAGTGTTCGATTATTGTCAGTTATAATGCAAACATGAAAAAAATGATGAATAGGATTGGTTTCATGATTTTTTGTCTACGACCAATTGTTTTTTTACCAAACCTGTATCTTCATACAGCAGAGTAATGCTGGTTAATTTAGTGCCACTAGCGATACATTTGGTAGCTTGAATTTGAATGTCTTCTATCACATCACTGTCTGTACATGCATATTCTTATCACAGCCTAGTAAATTATATGTACACAGAATGAAGTGAATCTCTATCTAAGAACATCTTCGTTTCCTCAAGATTTGATAAACATATTTGGTGCAAATTATAAAAAGTTATCAATATGAATTCGTAGAACGTTTAAAGAAAATCACATATCAAGATGTTTGTGAAAAGAAACTTCAGAGATAAAGTATAATCCATTGTTACAGGGTCGTGATTGTTTTATTTATATATTTATTAATTACATTTACAATTGACCAAAATACTTTCAGTTTTACTGTGACAAGTTAGTTATTGGTCCAACTTTGAAGTTAATGTCATGTTTTGCCTGATGATAGGATTATAAGTCCGGTTAGTTAATCCGTGTTCTCAGTACCTGATGGTAGGATTATCACCACGGATAGTTAATCCGTGTTCCCAATACCTGGTGGTAGGATTATCACCACGGACAGTTAATCCGTGATCCCAGTACCTGATGGTAGGATTATCAGCACGGACAGTTAATCCGTGTTCCCAGTACCTGATGGTAGGATTATCAGCACGGACAGTTAATCCGTGTTCTCAGTGCCTGACGGTAGGATTATCAGCACGGACAGTTAATCCGTGTTCCCAGTACCTGATGGTAGGATTATCAGTACGGACAGTTAATCGGTGTTCGCAATACCTGATGGTAGGATTATCAGTACGGACAGTTAATCTGTGCTCTCAGTACCTGATGGTAGGATTATCAGCACGGACAGTTAATCCGTGTTCTCAGTACCTGATGGTAGGATTATCAGCACGGACAATTAATCCGTGTTCTCAGTACCTGATGGTAGGATTATCAGCATGGACAGTTAATCCGTGTTCCCAATACCTGGTGGTAGGATTATCAGCACGAACAGTTAATCTGTGTTCCCAGTACCTGATGGTAGGATTATCAGCACGAACAGTTAATCCGTGTTCCCAGTACCTGGTGGTAGGATTATCACCACGAACAGTTAATCCGTGTTTCCAGTGTCGGAAATTAGGCTCTGGGTAGTGAGAGGGAAAATACATAAAACAACCATCCTCTTCAACTTTCTTCCTTTATTCTCCTCCTAACACACGAGAGTCACAGTAAACAAGGGAGGCAATCATGTAATACAGTTATCGAAGTTACCTCCCCTTTGACCATCTGTGGATGGTTTACATACGGCTACATATATGTGTATACATAACACCAGTACATAGTGGTAGGATTATCAGTGCGGACAGTTAATCCATGTTCGCAATACCTGAAGGTAGGATTATCAGTACGGACATTTAATATGTGTTCTCAGTACCTGATGGTAGGATTATCAGTACGGACAGTTAATCCATGTTCGCAATACCTGATGGTAGGATTATCAGTACGGACAGTTAATCGGTGTTCTCAGTACCTGATGGTAGGATTATCAGTATGGACAGTTAATCGATGTTCTCAGTTCCTGATGGTAGGATTATCAGTATGAACAGTTAATCCGTGTTCTCGGTTCCTGATGGTAGGATTATCAGTACAGACAGTTAATCGGTGTTCTCAGTTCATGATGGTAGGATTATCAGTATGGACAGTTAATCGATGTTCTCAGTTCCTGATGGTAGGATTATCAGTATGGACAGTTAATCCATGTTCGCAATACCTGATGGTAGGATTATCAGTATGAACAGTTAATCCGTGTTCTCGGTTCCTGATGGTAGGATTATCAGTACAGACAGTTAATCGGTGTTCTCAGTTCATGATGGTAGGATTATCAGTACAGACAGTTAATCGGTGTTCTCAGTTCCTGATGGTAGGATTATCAGTACAATCAATTAACCTGTTCTCTCAGTATATTTTCTGACACTAAATTGGTACAGGTCAACAAGTTAAATATCTAAGTCAAAATATCAATTTTTCTTTTCTGTAACATAAATCTTGTGACCCTGTAAGTCTGATAATGATAACACATCCGTTATTTATCCAAGAAGATTTCAAGGAATGGTTCTTATAAGTATATTGTGCTTCTCAATACATGGCTTTGACAAGTGAATCAAATAAAGGGAGCAATAATAACATAGCAGAGTGTTAATCCATTCAAGCATTAAAAAATAGTGTTTTGAAGTAAAACATTGACTAACTTTCCTTTTTGGGCCCACCCCATCCTCACTGATCTTAAGCCAAAACATCAAGTCAGTATCAATTCCAGATTGACAACCACCTTCAATGTCATTTTGAAAGGATGACAAGAAGTAAAGTCATCACATCACAAATATTGCAGTAAGAAATTTTGGATCAATGGAAAAAGTCCATATAACAAGGCATACAGAAACAACCACATCCCTTCTTACAAAATCATGTATATATTACAATTTTTACGAATAAGAGGTCCACAGGCCTTAACTGTAATCTGACAATGAAGACCTGCATGTATATATATTAAAGAGGTCAAATAGGCCTAAAATAAATTGCTCAACTACGTGTACTTTACAGCTTTCAAAGAAAACATATTATCAATAAAATTAAAGAAACTTTGTGTGATGAAAAGTGAATTATGTACAATTATGATTGCTTTTGCCTCAAACCTGCCTTACATTTCAACATTAAAAGAATTTATATACGTGTGTATACAAAACAGACAGAAAAATTAATTTATAATGCTTTTATTATTAACAATTATAACATGTGCACTTAAATAACACAATATTGTGATCGACAAAACAAAAATATATACTCATACACTTGACTGATTAAAATACCAAATGGTTATTTCTTTTCCTGTATGCAACTTATTTGAGAATCTGGCAATTACTTAATACAAGTCACATGACCATTATTTATATCCTTGTCCAATATTCAAATCCTCATTATTTCAAAAAAGACCTTTTTTGCAGTAAACCCTTATACAAGTTTGACATCTAAACAGCAAACTTGAGTCAATTCGAAATATATTTTGTGTGTTATATTTTGTCTGGTATTTACAAAATAATGTATACTGTATTTCAAAAGCAAGAAAGTAACAGTTTACATTCATTATCATTCGAAACAGAATTCAATTTCTTAAAATAATTGGTGAAATCTAAATCATATTAAATCAAATGTAGTAGGCAGTGTAGAGCTCTATAACAATCATTCAATATAAAGCCCTGAAAAAGTTTTACTTTAAATATATACAATCCTGTAACATGCATTACATTCATCCACCAATAAGCCTTATTTCCATAGTTTATGTCAAATGATTATTCAGTAATAAGATGTGATTTCTGTTACAAACATTCATAGCAGACAAGACATTTCCAATCACAGCAAGAACATTACGGTCTATACAGAAAAGTAAGCCGTTCCTATAATATGAGCACTTTCATGTTGGTAGTATTCGTTGTTGTTAACATACATGATTCAATAGTTTCAGGCATCACTGAAACAGTTACACTGAAGCTCTAAAATAATAATGCCAGTATTTTGTTTTAGTGTAGTTTAGTGTTAAATACAATTGAATACTTGTTAAAAAATATTATATTTGCTTCAATTCTTTAAACATGTATGACATATGCAAACAACACTATAATAATAAGTTTCAAATGTTCTGCCAAGAAATTTTCCAATGCAAAATGTCAAGAAATTGTAAAATAAGCTTTATAATAGACTTTTAAAGCTTGTACTTGCACATCACAACACATCCCTACTGTCTGAACTGCGTGAAGAAAAGAAAATGAAAGTAGAAAACCAATTACTGGTTTGTTTTTGACGTGAGTACCAGCAAATGGCACAAGAAAGTAAACAAAAGCTGAACAATTTGCATGATTCAATCAAAGGAGATCAGTTCTCCTTCTGCCTGTTGCACTGGTGGGGGTGCTTGTGAAGGGGCAGCTTGACCCCCTTGCGCCATCTGTGGTGGTTGAACCCCCTGCTGGTACTGGCTCTGTGGATGATGAGCTGGGGCTCCTCCCACATATTGTGATTGCTGTGGTGGGTTGTACATCTGCTGTTGAGTCTGGGAAGGCAATGCACTAGCCATGCCTAAAAGTAAACAACAAACATCATGAGGATAACCTATAACCCTATAACCCCTGCAGATAAAAAGAGTTTATATACCAATTCAGTGCCTGTAACTTCAACATTTTTTGTAGGCCTCTAAATTTCTAAAGACATATAACAAAACCTTGTCATGCACATTTTCTTACCATATATCATAAAGTCAAACCATTACATGGCTGATTTAAGACCTTTCATTCCCAAACATTAAAGGTATATAGTTTTTTTTACACTGAATGTTCTGGAAAACAGTTCATATGTTATTACCATTCTTAAAAGCCCTTACGTATTAATTTTCAGCTTAGTAAGACTAAATCTCCATTTCAACTTATTAGAAGTCTCCATTATGCATCTGGAAACACATTATATGTTACGTTATAGACTTTAATAAAGTTGATCAAATTCCATTAAAGTTGATCGATGGGCTGATGGGCCATTGCGCAAAAACCTGTGTATAGTTACCTGGTCATAAAGGCAACCAATATTTTTTCAATAACATCAGGTGTTTTGGAAAATAGCACTATTGTTATACCCATTCTGAAAAACCTTTGTATAATCATTTTCAAATCAAAAGTCTGCATCAATAAGGCCTTAACGGTCACCTGAGGTCTCAAAGTCGTTGGACAGTTTTAGAACCTGTCCCATCAGTCCCAGCATTGGGGAAGACAGAACAGAACAGATATATGCATACTTACAATCTTTTTATTGTTTCTAAGTTTGAATGCTTAGTTTTCATTTTCATTGAACTGATAACACTTGAATGAAGGTCAAAGTCATTCATTTGAACAAACCTGATAGCCCTTCATCGCAGCATGCTACTGGCCAAATATCATGACTCTGTGTCATTTGGTCAATGAGAAGCAATTCTTAAAATTTGTAACACACTTGATCTGGAAAGCAGGTAAAGGTCATTCATTTCAACAAACATGATAGCCCTTCATCCCAGCATAATCTTGGCCAAATACCATTACCCTGGACCTTTTGATTATTGAGAAGAAGTCGAAAATGTAAAATGTTTATGTGAAAACACACTAAGGACGTCTAAACTCAAATACCAAATGCTGGAAAACAGCCCAAAAAACCCCAAAAATTGTGTTTTGTTTAAACATGGAAACAACCTATGGGGAGGGAGGTAGGGGGCACATTTTCATTTTCATATTTGCACTTGTCATTCCCACAAAATTTTAAGTGTATTGTAAACTAAGCAAATGCATAGCCAGACAAAGTTGTATTCATTTTCTATATGAAAAGGATATAACTCTCTGAAAAACGAGGGAAATATGCAAAGTCATTTCCAGGGGGCACATCTCCCTATTGTACTGGTTATTTCAAACAAATGCATAGCCAGAAAAAGTTTTCCTAAAGACAGACAGATGGATGGACAGTTAAAAACGAGTTGATTCCAATATACCACCCCCACCCCTCCATCAAAAAAAAAAAAAAAAAAGTCTATAGTGACTAAATTACAATGGCTACCACAATTTCTTCAAAAGAAAAAAAACCCCAAAAAACAACACCTGCATGCACAGGTCTAGTCTACAAGTGCAATCTAATTTGCTGTTTTACATGTGGAAAAAGAAATTTCCCCCTTACCCTGCATGTTGAATGCCTGGTAATCTATATTCTGGGCCGGAGGTGCATTGTATCCTTGGTTCACCACCATGCCTCCCTGTGATGGCAGACTGTTAGGAGGGGAAGAGGTGGGGTTGTACTGGAGAGGCTGTTGGTAGTTTTGTCCAGTCATGCTAGGATCCTGATAAGTCCCCGACATACTAGCTGTTGGTAGAGTTGAGGCCATTGCCTGATAAGGGGCTCCAGCCTGGCTGTACCCCGGCTGTGAAGCAGGCTGGGTGTACATCTGCTGCTGACTAGATACCATCTGATTGGGTGCTCCACCCATACTACCTTGACCCATAGGTCCTTGTGCCATACTTCCTGGGGTCACACCCATGTTTGAAGCACCACCTGGGACCATGCCTCCCTGGGGGGCATAGCTTTGTGGCTGTTGATGTAGTTGGTGCACTGGGGACCCATCCAGTGATCCTCCAGGACTGAAAGCTTGGCTGGCTCCTGGGGGTATCCCTGTCTGCATCTGAACAGGTGGCATCCCTTGCTGTAGTGGTGGCATCCCTTGCTGCATCATGCCAGGTCCTTGTGGCATCATTCCTGTTACCTGTGGCACATGGCCATACTGCTGCTACAAGAAAAGAAACATGAATGGTGAATACAGTCAATAAGTATCACCAAATATATGGCTAAAACACATTACACCGCTGACAGACTTCCTTAGTATTGTTGCAAGACAGACATGGCCATGGGAGATTATGTCATGGGTTAATCAATGAAAGAATAATTTTGTGCTACTTACTGGGACCTGGGGGTAACCATAATTCTGGTATTGTCTCATCTGAGTAAGATGTTTTTGCTGCTCAAATCTCATCTGCATTTCCCTTTCTTGTTCCTGCAGTCGCTGTAATGCCAGCTGTCGTTGCATCTCTAGATACTCCTACAAAAGTACATAACACAGAATTATCAAGCTGAGCCAAGCGAGGGTTTTTGATTTGAAAGAAGAGTCAAGCCTATTTTTTAATCCAGCAGTTCAAACAGTTAAGATCATCATAGAAATTGTTGGATATTGATCAGAGTGGTTGGCTTTGTAATATCACCAATGCATACATGTTTTTTCTGTCTCATGATTTCCAGTTTGTGTGCCATTTGGATCTGTCTCTGTCTTTCCAGTTCCTCCATCTCGCGTCTTTTCTTCTCACGATGCTCATCCCTCAGGGCATTCAGGGCCTCTCGTGCATCACGAAGCTGAGCCAATTTGTCCTGGAGAGACTCATAGTGAGCTGGATAGACAAAAAAGTTCATTAATTAATAGAATGATTGTTACAATGTTAAAAACTTAATGGTGGACACCGCTCCTCTAATGAAATATGAAGGATCTTTCATTCTTCCAATATAAAAGGCATTGCTTTCAAATGTCTGCAGGTATTGTTTTCTTAACCATATTGAATGATATAGAGTCCAGATTGACCAGGAGAATACTTCCCCTTACCTTGCACAACTCAACCTCACTGCATGATATAGTAATCCCAATTTATTCATATCTACTTTGCATATCTATTCTTCAAAGAATAATCTTGCTACCATACTTGTTAAAGGATATTAACAGTAAAACTATATCAAACTGGTATCAGGGAGAAAGGTCAAGGCCATATTGTTATCATACTTACCTGTGCAAAGGCTAAATATAGCTTCCTAATTTGCATGCTACTTAGTCAGTCTGACAAGTTTGATCAGATAAGGATTGCCTTCATAAGTTTACCTTTGAAAAGTAGAGTTTTACCTCTGAGGTCCTCCTGTTCCTGAGTGTACATAGACTCCTAGTTCCTCTTGTTCCTTAAACTACATAGTATACAGGCTTACCTCTGAGATCCTCCTGTTCTTGAGTATACTTCATCAACTGGGGATGCATATTACTGATGACTGTGAACAAGGACTGCACTGATGAATCGTTGGCAATACTACGACCGCGCTGAGAATTGCTACGCATACGGTTCACAAAGATTTCCAAACTACTTTGAAGAGCTCGTAGAAACTGTTCCTGGTCATCCTCTGATTCTCCATTCTGGTAGGACTGAACAAATTATGATGATCAGTTATCAGCTTCAACACTAGAATAATACTGATCTATATTTTGACATTAACTCAAATGTTTTACAAATAATGAATTTTTTTTTATAAATACAGAAAATATTACACTTGCTGTTACCAGTGATAAACCAAAATTTGCTGTGATGATATTTTTGATCAATTTTCACATGTGAATAACACCATAATTGAATTTACCTCAAGGATTTTTCCTCCTGATGTTTTAGGTTCTGCAGCCACCACTGGGGCCGAGGGCTGGGTAGTGGGAGCTTGATTTTTATTTTCTTCTGATCGCTGTTGCCAATAATTACGATTCAAATAGCGAGCAAGTTCTGGATCCATATCTGATGTGTCTATCATAGGTGCTGACACAGTCTGAATGAAAGTTATATTTGAAAATTTTAAGAATGTTTCATTGTCTGATTCTGCTCTTCAATTTGTAAAAGAAAGCAGGTATTATTCTCTATTGCATATTCTTATTCTTCATACAAAAATATCAGTTATTTTCAGTCTAATAATTAAAACAGATACAAATTTTCAGTCTACTGTATTTTACTGACCGTGGTTTGGACCTTTGGCTCAGAGGCTGGAGATGCTGGTCTGTCATTAGTACTGCCACTGTACAGGCCGTAGTTTTTCCTCAGACGTGACCTCTGAAATAATTTAATATTCTATCAAAGACAAAAAGAGATGCAAGTCTGTAATCTACCCTGTAATGATGATGAGGTTGGTAGCTTTGTGTGAAACAGAAGAAGACATGCTCCTCAAAGATGGAATGAAAAATGAAAGTCATCAAATGGAGGAATGACAATCATTTCCCTTTTCTTGTAGGACCAACATTTCTTGCTTAAGCTGTCCCTGTGACATATATAGATTCAACAGAATGATCTGTAACAATTTTGCTTAAAAAGTTCAGACATAGAATATCAAAAGCCATTATTTACTTTCCATACATAACAGGACTAATTCTTGATTTCAGTGTGGCTGGAAACATGATATGCCACTATTTAAGATATGCTGTACCTGATGACTAATGAATATCTGTTGTTTCTTACCTCCTTTTCCTTGTTCTCATGCTCACTCTGAGACAGAGCGATGGCCAGCTGTAGTTCTTCTTCTTCCTGTATTTCTTGATCAGTCTTTTGCTGAGGAACCTTGAAGAATCAAAATTCAAACACTCAACACCATGAATTTACCATAATGTTTTCCAGTGTAGAAATTACTGGTGCAACAACTGGCTTCAAAGCTATGCTAATTTACATTAAAGCTCATCATTGGAAATACAAACTACTAAGGTGGCAATACACTCAAACTGGATAGAGTAATTAATCTCATTGATTAACTGATATACGCCCTTACAACTGGATGACCATGAAACCATATTGTGAACTTTTTCCAATGGGGTTGTAGTGCAATAGGAAGGATTAGTGATTAGTGCACCTTGCTGGATTCGAATTTGCAACCCTTCAGTCTCTAGCCGGACACTTTGCCACTTAACTAAAGGGAAATTCCCACTAGCCACGTCTAGAAAGGCAACCTGTACCCTCAAATCAGATATAGGTACAAAGAGATTGTTTGTGAGCAAACATTTATAATTATATCTGATTTAATAACAGATGACCTTGACAACTGCTTAATGTAATACCACAACCAATCTGTCTTAACACATGATATAAGACTTCATGTAAAATATTCCTGTCAATTAGATCTGATTTAATAAGGGCTAACCTTGACAGCTGGTTAATGTCAAATACCCACAACCAATCTGTCTTAAACACATGATGTAAGACTTCACGTAAAATATTCCTGTCAAATAAGCATTGTAAAGTTAAAAATAAATAGCTTCAATTTGTAATGAAATAGATAAACAAACTGACATTGTACCATACAACAACATGGGATACATTTTAAATGAAATTTAACCATCAAGTAAGTTCAAACACTGAGAGATTTCAATACCTGGATAGTTATGTTTTGTTCTCAATAAACAGTAATAACATTAGACATGGAAAAGCAGTGCATGTCACATATTAAAGGTAATCCCTCTCTTTACATTAAAAGATTTCTCACTACTAAAACCTTTGTACATCAGAAACTATGTTTACATATCAAATGTCACGTGCATCGGTTTGAAGTGCGTATCAAACAGTAGGTCATCCAGCGTTACACATAACTAGTCTCTTTTGTATAGTGAACTGCACGCGTTTTCGACTATGAATGCAAACGTTATACAATGCAGTCTTTTCTAAGCCAGTGGAGACTGCGTTAGAGGTTATGCGAAGTTCTGAAGAGCCTGAAGTCCAAGGAAGTATATGCTTCGTCGTGACAAATGTTCAAATCTATAGTGAACAGTTCTATCCTGAACCGAGGACACCTGTCAACATTACATTGAAGAAATAATCACCGAAACACTTGCATTCCTATATAACGTTATTTCACATAACAGATGCACACGATTAACAAACCTACCAATTCGATACAATACTTCACCATGCAAAAGTAGATGAACTTCTAATCGAATCACTCAACAATCAATATTATTTACCCTATACGCCATCTTGGCATTTAATCGCAGTCGTAACAACGATTTGTATTGACCAACCGCTTGCCCAAGCGTGTACGTGATCCAGATTCGGGGGATTGTCTCAAAAGTAGGGTTAACAAAGAAAGCAATGACAAACAGTATACAATAGACTCTACTACGGACGTAGATATATTTAAAGCCAAAGGCCATACATGAAGATATTACCCATAGATAATATTTCCATAGATTTAGAAAGGCCGTGGGAATCAGGAAATGTCAAAACAAACATTCTATGTTCTCGTGCCCGTACGGTTCAATGTTGTGCATTTTGATGGCGTATCATTGGCGCATTAATTTCGGACCTCTAAAGAAATATTTGTCGCTAGCCGTGCTATGTTTATGAACTGCCACTAAACAAATACATAAATGACTTTAAATGTGTTCATACTATATGACTGATTTAAAAATGATCAGTGAAATACCAGTATTTAAAAAAAAAATATCCACAGTTACGACCTCAAATTCGCTCACCCGAAATCGATTTATTAGGAAGATCGACGCAGACTGAAAGCCTCCATATCAACAATTTATATGTACAATGAGTAAATTTACATCCTCTGCTACAATAGCTATGTAAAGTCCAAAAATAAGAATCACGCAAACATTAAGATTAAATTTGAAAATGATTCAAATTTGTTAAAACCTCTAATAAACTAAACTGTCCAGAATCATGATATTTGGCTAATATGTTCTTGAGTCATTCAAAGTTTCAGAAAAGAAATGATCTTGAATGATATTCAAGGTCACAGGGGCCAAATTTAGTGAAACCTTGAATGCTGATGTTGTAAAATGTTTATGTGTTTGTGAAAAAGTTTGAAAACCAGGTGAGCGATGCAGACCATTTGGGCCTCTTGTTTTTAGTAACAGGTAAATCCATTGTTAGTTACCTGAGAACTAAATTTCAAATAGAAAAATAAAAACGATATGTATGTGTTTAGGAATGTATTATTTAAAGATTTTATATACCATCATTCTATCAAGTTTTATTTTTGAGACAGACATCAACTATATAATCAAATATATTAACTTAAAAAACAAGCTACAAGGAAGCCTGTTTTCATCTTCTGATCTGCATCAGGAACAAATTGAAGAAAAAAAAAACCTTCAGCACTTTTAGAGAAACAACGAAACTTGAAGTGTGATATAAGATCCCAGAGAAATCTTAGCATCCACCATTGCAGGATGTTGATTTTCTCATTGTATGGGCTCGTCACTCTACTAAATGAGCTACAGGCTTGTTTCAAATAATGCTCTCCAAATCCAAGAAAGAGCTTGTGCTCATGAGTTATACAAGGATAATTGTGACACTGGTAGAGCAACTTGTATCATTTCAGTCTCTACTGCTGGGGTCTCTACATGGACACTAACTTAATAATGGTTATTATAGACAGTGAAATGATTAAAGTTGTAGTTAGATATAACAGTGTAAAATGCAGACTTCAGATTTCATTCATGCAATATTTTTCTTTTGATTTTCTGGTCAGTATGCAAAAAGATTGACCATATGACCCAGCTTCTAATTTTGAGAAAGTATCTGTGATAGCAGTCTGCAAATTCAAAAATTCAAGATGTCTGCCATCTGATTCTTCCAATTCATCTCCAGATTAAAAACGCAAAACAATAAGGACCAAAACCAATGTAAAAATCAAATGAAAAAAATTCACCCAGCACTGCTTGAGAAACCACAGAAGAATATTCAAGTATAGAAAATACTAGAAATCCAATATGCCTGTCATCAATTTTTCAGCAACTGACTTTCTTCTTTCGATCAGTATCAAAACTAAACATGTCCTGCTTTTGAAATATATCTCCTACACTTTCTAAGAACCATCTACATATGACAAAGTCAATTATAGCCGAGTATCAACCATTGTGTCATTCAATCAATTTCATTATCAAACATGAGGAACCTACATGAAATATTCTTTCACCACTTTCTGAGAAATAGTAAAAACTGGCCATCAAAATCCAAGAGGGATAAGCTAACTTGTAGTCTCATTTGCAAATAGACTCTCGCACAAGTATGAACAAAGAGGAAACATTAGACATCTGGAGAACTTAAGAAAAGGTAATGCTCAAAACTGAAGATAACTCTCTTTTTCATTTCATAAGTTTTAAAATAAAAAATGCATACCTGTCCAAAGGAAATCAAAATAAGAATTTGGAGGTGATCCCTAGTGACAATCAAAATTAATAATTACAAAGGTCAACAAATGATGATTCAAACAAACCCGCATTAAATGAAGGGGTGAGCTGAAAAACTACAAAAAAAAAACCACATACACACAATTAGAATATTTTCTTTATTGAAAAAAGTTTAAAATTTGTTTGCTAGCTAAGTTTACCACCCTGTGAACAGCCAGGGTCTCCTTGAAGTAGTTGGAGGGTATTGCATTATACAGCATATTGGAGACCCATTGCATGCTATCCAGAGCAATTAAGGTTAAAATGTCTTGCTGGTTCGTTTCTCAGCTTACTGAGAAAGACGAACATCCATGGGTAAGGAACGTCAAACCATTTACCTCCAATCTTCACAAGAGGTTACATAGGCCAAATTTCTAATCAACTCAGCTGTTAACAGCCCCTCCTTCAGTATTTTCAAGGCTATATTGATCCTGAATAACTTATTTATAAAATACTGGAAGAAATTAATAGATATGTGTATCTAATTGTCATTATGATCTGATATTTACCTTCCACTTATTCTGTGACGGGGTACTTTCCATAAAATAATCAATTAAATGTTACCAAATTATATATATATATATCCACCGATGCATTTTATGTATGTGTTGTCCATGTGCAGTTATTGTCTGTGTTCACCTGTTGTAATGTGTGAGTATTGGTAAGTGCTTTTTGTCTGCCTTTATTTTCCCTCCATTTTTATTGTTGGATATTTCCATATTGGTCATTCTAAAGACCGACCTTTTCCAGTTATGACCTTTTGGTCGATACTTTTCTACATTTTGGCCTAAGCTGATTGGTGATCAACTGCTGTAAACTACCTTTCTATTTCTTCTCTATATCAACTTGTAATCAGCTGTATTTTTTGATAAATGAATGAAGGTAGTTTCAATCACAACATACCCAAGTATCACCAGTAAGTGGGTTATTTAATGGCCGACTAGTTTTGCCTCTATAAGAGAGGCTTCATCAGGTCCTCACTTATAGTATGTAAATGATGTCATACAAATTATGACATTCAGAGGTCTGTGTACATAATTGATACCATATAAATTATAACATTCTGGGGTCTTTGTACGTAATTGATGTCATAAATCATGACAGTCTGAGGTCTGTGTATGTAATTGATGTCATATAAATCATGACATTCTGGGGTCTGTGTATGTAATTGATGTCATATAAATCATGACATTCTGGGGTCTGTGTATGTAATTGGTGTCATAAATTAGGACATTCTGGGGTCTGTGTATGTAATTGATGCAATATAAACTATATTCTGAGGTCTGTGTATGTAATTGATGTCATATAAATCATGACATTCTGGGGTCTGTGTATGTAATTGGTGTCATAAATTAGGACATTCTGAGGTCTGTGTATGTAATTGATGTCATATAAATCATGACATTCTGGGGTCTGTGTATGTAATTGATGTCATATACATATACATCATGACATTCTGGGGTCTGTGTATGTAATTGATGTCATATACATCATGACATTCTGGGGTCTGTGTATGTAATTGATGTCATATACATCATGACATTCTGAGGTTTGTGTATGTAATTGATGTCATATAAATCATGACATTCTGGGGTCTTTGTACGTAATTGATGTCATAAATCATGACAGTCTGAGGTCTGTGTATGTAATTGGTGTCATAAATTAGGACATTCTGAGGTCTGTGTATGTAATTGATGCAATATAAACTATATTCTGAGGTCTGTGTATGTAATTGATGTCATATACATCATGACATTCTGGGGTCTGTGTATGTAATTGATGTCATATAAATCATGACATTCTGGGGTCTGTGTATGTAATTGATGTCATATAAATCATGACATTCTGGGGTCTGTGTATGTAATTGATGTCATATAAATCATGACATTCTGAGGTCTGTGTATGTAATTGACACAATATAAACTATATTCTGAGGTCTGTGTATGTAATTGATGTCATATACATCATGACATTCTGGGGTCTGTGTATGTAATTGATGTCATTTAAATCATGACATTCTGAGGTCTGTGTATGTAATTGATGCAATATAAACTATATTCTGAGGTCTGTGTATGTAATTGATGTCATATACATCATGACATTCTGAGGTTTGTGTATGTAATTGATGTCATATAAATCATGACATTCTGAGGTCTTTGTACATAATTGATGTCATAAATTAGGACATTCTGAGGTCTGTGTATGTAATTGATGTCATATACATCATGACATTCTGAGGTCTGTGTATGTAATTGATGTCATAAATCATGACAGTCTGAGGTCTGTGTATGTAATTGATGTCATATACATCATGACATTCTGGGGTCTGTGTATGTAATTGATGTCATATACATCATGACATTCTGGGGTTTGTGTATGTAATTGATGTCATATAAATCATGACATTCTGAGGTCTTTGTACGTAATTGATGTCATAAATCATGACAGTCTGAGGTCTGTGTATGTAATTGGTGTCATAAATTAGGACATTCTGAGGTCTGTGTATGTAATTGATGTCATATACATCATGACATTCTGGGGTCTGTGTATGTAATTGATGTCATATACATCATGACATTCTGGGGTCTGTGTATGTAATTGATGTCATATACATCATGACATTCTGAGGTTTGTGTATGTAATTGATGTCATATAAATCATGACATTCTGAGGTCTGTGTACATAATTGATGTCATAAATTAGGACATTCTGAGGTCTGTGTATGTAATTGATGCAATATAAACTATATTCTGAGGTCTGTGTTTGTAATTGATGTCATATACATCATGACATTCTGGGGTCTGTGTATGTAATTGATGTCATATAAATCATGACATTCTGGGGTCTGTGTATGTAATTGATGTCATATAAATCATGACATTCTGGGGTCTGTGTATGTAATTGATGTCATATAAATCATGACATTCTGAGGTCTGTGTACATAATTGATGTCATAAATTAGGACATTCTGAGGTCTGTGTATGTAATTGATGTCATATACATCATGACATTCTGGGGTCTGTGTATGTAATTGATGTCATATACATCATGACATTCTGAGGTCTGTGTATGTAATTGATGTCATATACATCATGACATTCTGAGGTCTGTGTATGTAATTGATGTCATATACATCATGACATTCTGAGGTCTGTGTATGTAATTGATGTCATATACATCATGACATTCTGGGGTCTGTGTATGTAATTGATGTCATATACATCATGACATTCTGAGGTCTGTGTATGTAATTGATGTCATATACATCATGACATTCTGGGGTCTGTGTATGTAATTGATGTCATATACATCATGACATTCTGAGGTCTGTGTATGTAATTGATGTCATATACATCATGACATTCTGGGGTCTGTGTATGTAATTGATGTCATATACATCATGACATTCTGGGGTCTGTGTATGTAATTGATGTCATATACATCATCACATTCTGGGGTCTGTGTATGTAACTGATGTTATATAAATTATGACAGTGTATGACAATATATATTTGCTATAGGTATAAAGCTGATATCAGTTATAGCACTGGGATATTCCTGGACATTTATGCCAATATAAATAAATCAATATCTGACTAACTTTCCGGCCATTAACGATGTAGGACACTTTTGATTATCAGATTGATTTCACCAGATAATTGGTAAGAATTTCACCTTGTCCAGTTATCAATTTTAGAATACTTGCTGGTAGTGGCTGTTTGTGCCAAGAACATCCCTGGAAAGCAGGTATAGTCAAACTTCAATGTTTTAAAGTTCAAGGGACTACCAAAAAAATTGCAACACATGAAGACTTTGAATCATGCTTGGTGGGTTATATCAACATTTTCAAGTTCATAGATATATATATAGTTGATGACACAATATTTCTCCCTGAACACGCACAACAAATACCAACATACAACATTAAATGAAAAGATGCATGTTGATCTTTAAACAAAACGTTTTCATTCATGCAAAAAAATCTTAACTTTAAATAGAAAATACCTGTACAGTGCAGGTAAACATTTTGCTTGAATCATGAGGTGTCAATGACTGTGTTACCATAGCTTACAGTCCCCCAAAAAAAATTTAAAAAAACTTGAATTCATAAGGAGGTAAGTTAGTGATATAATATATAGGAATAAAATTTGGGACCGGACAAAAACTTTGATACATCAAGGAATTTGAATCATTGAAGCTCAATTAATAGAAGTTTGACTGTATTAGTAGCAGAACAACTTACTACCTGTGGCTGTTTAGACAGGGGACTTGCCAAGTACTCTGCTGGTAGATCATCTTCCCCACCCTCACTTTTCTTTGCACTGGGTCTGGAATTTATCACCAATAAAATAATTACAGAGGCAATTAAATCATTCTTTTCAAAGCTACAGCTGATATCAATGTTCAAAAAGTGTCCAATATAAAATCGTACCTAAAAACCTGTTGTAAACAAAACATTCCTGATCTTTGTATCAATTTTCATCCAAATTCTTACAGAAGTAAAGTCCCTGACTTGATAACCAAAATTCAGGACAGAATGCACTGTACTCATTAAAATGTTGTTAACAATATAAAGATAGATAGGACTACTGGATACAATCCTTTATGGAAGCCTTACATTAATGACAGCTCCTGACAGAATAGGTATTCTATCAGGATCAGATAGTCATCTCACTACTCAATGAATCATATACTCAATTAGCACTTTTAGGAGCGATGGCAACCACCTAGAAATGTTACGTAGGCCTATATTTACTCTATCTTAGGCCTATATTTACTCTAACTTAGGCCTATATTTACTCTAACTTAGGCCTATATTTACTCTATCTTAGGCCTATATTTACTCTATCTTAGGCCTATATTTACTCTAACTTAGGCCTATATTTACTCTAACTTAGGCCTATATTTACTCTATCTTAGGCCTATATTTACTCTATCTTAGGCCTATATTTACTTCGGCCTATATTTACTCCTTATATTTACTCTAACTTAGGCCTATATTTACTCTATCTTAGGCCTATATTTACTCTACCTTCGGCCTATATTTACTCTAACTTAGGCCTATATTTACTCTAACTTAGGCCTATATTTACTCTATCTTAGGCCTATATTTACTCTAACTTAGGCCTATATTTACTCTATCTTAGGCCTATATTTACTCTACCTTCGGCCTATATTTACTCTAACTTAGGCCTATATTTACTCTATCTTAGGCCTATATTTACTCTATCTTCGGCCTATATTTACTCTAACTTAGGCCTATATTTACTCTATCTTAGGCCTATATTTACTCTATCTTAGGCCTATATTTACTCTAACTTAGGCCTATATTTACTCTATCTTAGGCCTATATTTACTCTAACTTAGGCCTATATTTACTCTATCTTAGGCCTATATTTACTATATCTTCGGCCTATATTTACTCTAACTTAGGCCTATATTTACTCTATCTTAGGCCTATATTTACTCTATCTTCGGCCTATATTTACTCTAACTTAGGCCTATATTTACTCTAACTTAGGCCTATATTTACTCTATCTTAGGCCTATATTTACTCCTATATTTACTCTATCTTAGGCCTATATTTACTCTAACTTAGGCCTATATTTACTCTACCTTAGGCCTATATTTACTCTATCTTAGGCCTATATTTACTCAATCTTAGGCCTATATTTATTCTAACTTGGGCCTATATTTACTCTAACTTTGGCCAACATTTACCATACTTATTTATAAGCGAAAGTCCTCCTGTCCTTGTAACATCGCCCATTAAAAATTGACAGTGATAAAAAGTAACTATGTCAAGACAGATGGAGGAGCACAAATTGACACAAATATACTCACTTGTTGATGCTGTCAAAACAGGAATCACAGACACGAACCTCTCGCTCAATTCCAAATTTAGGGATGATGGAGTTTTTCGAGGAACATTTTGAACAAAATACCTCTCCACAGTTTCTACAGTGATGCTGTAACAAAAACTCATTTCTTTATTTCTATAGTAATTTGTTTTGTTTTCTGAGATGCATGTATAAACTGGACAAATTGATAAATTCAGAATAATGATTGAGTTTCCAAAATTACTTTTACATCTTAAAATATCTTGACATTGTGACAACATGATGAATATGACTAATTCCCAGTTAATTTGATTGTAATTTAGATACCAAGCTTTTACAACATCAGATGATACTACAAAATATACACAATGATGACAACTGAGAAGCCATTTTACAGAAACATAACTTGGACAAACATACGAATCTGAAAGATAATTTCTTAATGTCTCTGATACTATAGTAGGTCACCCTTTAAGTGTTTAGATTCCTGTAATCAACCCCAAACCATCAAAATGGTGCTAGCAAAACAATGATGCTATTTGAAACTCCTCTATTTCTGTTACGGCAAAAGATCTTAAGTCTACATTACTGCAGCATCTCAAAGTGAAATAGTTTGGCCTAAAATGATAAGTTGTCCAACAACTAAGTTGACATGTTTCATCCCTTATTTTTTGGCATCACTGAAAGTGCAACCAGATAACAAAATAGAGTAGCAGACTACTGTAATGTAAGTTACTGAGTAATAATACACAGAAAACAGCAAAACATGAAAAAATTTTAAATAAGAGAGAAATACAAAATCAGAATCTCATTCAAAACGTGGACAGTATGTCTGTCATCTTAGGAAGTTTTGAGATAATATTTCATTTCTAGATTGATACGGATAGAAATGAAGTTTTCATGCTTTCAGATCCTCTTCAACCACCAGTGTCTCATATCAACTGTGACAAAGAGACAGAAGTTATCTAGCATATTGTATTGAACCTACATACAGACCTGGTATTTCTTACAAAAGATCTTTTAATTGAGCAGCCTACCATTTTTTCTGAGTTATAAGCTGTACCTGTATATAAGCTGCAGATCCGCTTTTTACAGATGTTTGCGGTTAGGTCAAAATATTAGCTGTACAAGAATATAAGCCACACCCTTACTTATGAAGTGGTAACCATTACATTAACTTAAGTTTGTTGATATAACAGACAATGGAGGGCAATTTATCACCATCATCAGTGAAATATTTAATAAAGTTTGCAATTGAATTATACACAGATAATGTTTTACCTTATCTTTTATGACTGTCGTTCTAGAATTTGAAATATAATGTCATGACCTGTTAATCCAAGGAGGCAAAAGACTATTGTAAACTTTCGCTATGGCTTCCAAGTAACCACGATAATCCAGAAGATATTGTGATTCATATTAAAAGGTATGATTAATTAAATCCACAAGAATGTTATTTTTATTTCAATCTTCAAATCATCCTGTACATGATTGCAAATGATGGTTCTAGACAATCTGTTTCAGTCACTAACATATGATGGACAGGTACTCATTAAAAAAACTCAGTATACTTCCTGATTTCTTTTCTTTTATCCTACCAATTTTTTCCCTCCACATATAAGCTGCACCAGCATGTCCGACTCACAAGGAAAATAGGTACAGCTTATAATCCAGAAAATACAGTATTTCGGCTAGTGCTGAGTTAGTGATCAGATGGCATTGTTAGTACTGCTCTAACCTTTCTCCCAGGTGACCAGGTTCTGTTTCCCAATCAAAAGTGAAAAAGTATGAAATCACCTGCCTGACAAGGTGTGTTTTCTATGAGTTCACATGTACATATAACTTTTCTTCAATAATATAAAAAAAACACCACTGGCTTCCATCCTGGCCAACAACCATGAAGAACAACTTCTTCCATAATTTTTGTAAAAGAAATAAATTTTTTCATTAGATTACTACGCATGAGAACTACAGTTATTGCAGTATGAGTCATCTCAATGATAATTATCAATATTTAATAGATTTACACACCTGTCTGTTGAATGTACCAAACTTAGTCCTACAACGGTTACACACATCTCCTTCCTTCCACTCTGGAGCCTTTTCTGCAGTGAACATGGCATCTGCCTCCTTCAGGGTGGGAAAGGTGTAACCTGGTAATAAAATCAAAGATTTTCTCATAATGACACATCATGTTACATTCATGTAGTATACAAGTATGTGGCAAATGTATAAATATTCAGTACAATATGTATTAAAACTGATATTCTCAAAATTTTAAATAAATGTATTTTTACAGATAGCAGTTACTTTTCTGTGTATAAACTTTGGCACTATTTAATATACCATAATACATTAGGACTAATCTATTCTATCTCCGGGAGTAACGTCCAGAAGCAAACAAATTCTTTATGGAAAAATGTGGCTTAGTTACACAGCACTGTTTATAAATGTTTTTATATCAATTACATCCAACATCGTTTAATGTCAAACCATTTTCTGGCCATATTTTATGAGAACACTGAAAATTAATGGACAGTAAAATTCATGCAGAAGATTATCATTCATCACAAATTATACTGATATTGATGTTTTTTTTGCTGCGAGACTTCAACTGTACCAGAATTTTGGTTTAAAGCAATCTATCGTCTTATCAACAATCCATTTAAAGAAGACATTATCAATCAGATATTATACTTACAGTTTATCATCCAAAAATGATACTGCATATAATATATACAATAAGAAAACCATAAAGTATTAATGTAGCAATATCAAAGCAGTTCTCAGTGAAAATATGCCTTACCTTCCATCTTCATCAGGTGGAATGTGTCCTGTACAACCTTATAGACAGGCTCATTACGAAAAGCATGAGACCACACTTGTATCAGCTCAAGGATTTTTGCCTTGACAGGATCTTGCCTTGCCTGTGAATTAAGCAATGTATGAAAAACTTGACTGAACAGATACCTCAAAAAATAAAATGATACAAAGAAAATGGTGTAGTATTGTATGTACAGTGCTGTAGTCTTCTAATCTAATCTAAAGCATGAAGTGCATTTTTCAGTGCATGAGTGAATGCTCGTAAGAAGACACAAAATATTGTTTTCCTTATTAAAGAAACTTCTGTTAATTTCTATCACAAGATAATTTTTCATTTTGCAACTTATTTCAAAATTGATCTTAAATTTTTCACCAACTAATCTTTCTCCAATGATTTATTTCAATAATGGAAAATATTATGTTACACCCACAGAATAACCTTAATACATCATTTCTGCTAAATTTATATATGTATACAAAAGAATAAAAAGTGCATCATTTGCAATGTTTGATATTCAGTGGGGTTTCTGCACTTACCTTAACTTGATCCTTTAAGAATTCCATCATCTCTTTTGTGGCAATTTCCTGATGAATTACACCTCCACAGTTCTTCACACATGATTCTAACACCTATACATCACAAACAACGTGTGTTAACAGTTTTTCATCATATTTTTAACTCTTTATGCAGAATCCTAATGTTCCTATTTAGCTCTTTCATAAACCTGGTGACTTGTATATTGTCTTACTATTAATTAGTACTAAAACTTGACAAATATTTGAACAAAACTCCTGTATCCAGATAATTTCTGTCATGAAACAAAAATGTTTCATGACAGCATAGCAAACCAAAATGCTGGAATGAAATCATACATTCTATCACAAATGCTTTCTTGGGTCTTAAAATTATAGCATCTGGTAATTTCATGGAATTAAAGCCTTATGACACTTTTTATGGAGCATGGTAGTTTGAACATTCATTACACGTTACATATAGCTGTACAAAATTCTCATCATACATTTGCAATGCCAAATATCCATCAGTAGCTGTTGTAACTTCACCAATTGATCAACTTTCCCTTTCCATTATCAATACTTTAAAAACACTTTTAATCAAATAGGTTTGTATTTATCTCACTGTTGACACTGGTTACTGAACTTTCCAGGTATATCGTGCAGTGAAATATTTCACACTGACTTATCGCTGTTCTACTTAATGTTTAGTCAATGGTAACAATGTCTGTCAGAATGGACACATTCCAAAAACTTGTTTACCGATTTTCAATGAATGATATCCTGATATCTGCCAAGTATTGTAACCAAATTCGGGTACATTCACTTGTTCAAGTGACTGTACTCAGTATTAATATACTTTTTTACACTACCTGCAGTGCAAAAAGAGCCACATGAGGATTGTCTGCTGTGATCTTCCGTTTGATACCAGCTATTGCATTCTTTGGTCTGAAAAGCAGAATCACAAAATGAGTAAATCAATGCCAGTAGAATATTCACATCAAATCTTACTGTGTTGAATCCTGTAAAAACCAAACTTAATCATTACTGACAAGGAATAATACTTTCACTTTCAATATAATGCCACAAGAGGCACACAGAGCCTTAATCACTCATCCAGTTAAGTTTGCTGAAATTTGTCTAAACTAGATGAAAGGCATCAAAATGATTTATATCCATTTCTTTTATTAGGCCCCATCTGTCGACCCCATGAGTGTCATGCACTGATTATACAAAATTGAGGTCCTTTCACCAATGGTATTTCAGACCAAATTTACATAAAAATCAATCATTTCGACAGCATATAAACAGTTTTAAAGAACTTGTTCATTTCAGCTATTCGGCCTGCCATTCCTGCACAAGATGGATGAGACCACCTTTTTAAAAATTCAGTGCCTTCCTTGAAGGATGCTTCAGACCCAATTTGGTTGAAATCTGCTTAGTCATCTATGACAGCTGACAGATGCCACAGTATGGCATACCAGGCAGACCAAGTATTTTCCATAGGTTTTCATTTTTAAAGAGATATTTAACAATTAATTCTGATTTGACTTGACAGAATTTTATCAAAAGCAATGTTGATATGTTTGCCACTTTCCCCTATCAGTTATATCTGTATGATTTTGTGTCTGTCTGGTGGTAGTATTGGTGGTACATACCTTACATTCCTCTATATCTGTATGATTTTGTGTCTGTCTGGTGGTAGTATTGGTGGTACATACCTCATATTCCTCTATATCTGTATGATTTTGTGTCTGTCTGATAGTAGTATTGGTGGTACATACCTTACATTCCTCTATATCTGTATGATTTTGTGTCTGTCTGATGGTAGTATTGGTGGTACATACCTTACATTCCTCTATATCAGTATGAGTTTGTGTCTGTCTGATGGTAGTATTGGTGGTACATACCTTACATTCCTCTATATCTGTATGATTTTGTGTCTGTCTGATGGTAGTATTGGTGGTACATACCTTACATTCCTCTATATCTGTATGATTTTGTGTCTGTCTGATGGTAGTATTGGTGGTACATACCTTACATTCCTCTATATCTGTATGATTTTGTGTCTGTCTGATGGTAGTATTGGTGGTACATACCTTACATTTGTACATACCTTACATTCCTCTATATCTGATGAGTTTGTGTCTGTCTGATGGTAGTATTGGTGGTACATACCTTACATTCCTCTATATCTGTATGATTTTGTGTCTGTCTGATGGTAGTATTGGTGGTACATACCTTACATTCCTCTATATCTGTATGATTTTGTGTCTGTCTGGTGGTAATATATATCTTACATTCCCCTATCAGTTATAGCTGTATGACTTAACACCTGTCTAGCACTAAGAATGGTGGTACTTACGTAACATCACCCTGTCTTATGGCATCACAGATCTGTAACACTGAATCCCAGTCCGGCTCAAGTAATAGCTGACTAGTTGCTTTCTCTGAAATTGAAAGGAAATGACAATAATTACAATTGCTAGTTAAGATTTCTACTAATAGGAAAGAGAAACTGAACCTAATACAGTGCGCTATGTGTAATGATATCAGACATCAATAACTGCAATCACATGACATCCAGACATTATACAGACAGAAACTTGATGTAATATCTATTACAGGGGGTCATAAGAGTCCTTCATTTTAAGCCTTGAATTTCACTGGAGCACCATAGTCTCTTGACAAATGTTTTACTCTAGCAAATGGATATTCTTCCTAAAAGGAATTACGCAGAGAAGATTAAAATTGCTAGTACATGTATCATAGTGTTTGGCCCCAGTTAGACAATTTAAAGACAGTATGTCTGGTGCAGTACCAAAGTGCACCGCTAAATGAAATTGAAAGTAAGGAATTCTCCACCATCCTTTACTGTTATCAGCCTTAGTGGATGTCAACATTGTATTTATATTTATACATTCATATATATGATTCTTGTTAATTTTAGAAGGATAATAACTGATAGCACATCAAAATCCAACACGTGAACCGTCCGTCATCAGTAGACTATCCTGATTTGTTCACTTTGAATTTATAGAGATCACAAAAGAAAACTGGGGTGTTCAACAATGAATTACGTGATTTCATAAAATCTTCTAACTTCTGTTATTTTAGAAGCATAATAACTACATTTCATAGATAGAATGTCCAATTCCTGCATTACAAAATTGCTCTGGGTGTCACAACACCATCCATGATCTGATAGCTCATCCAGATCCAAGATGTGTGAACCATCAGTCATCAGCAGACCATCCTGATTTCAAAAATCTTCTAACCCCCACCCTTTGTACAGTACACAATGTGTGCAGTCTACAATATTGAAAATTAAGACTAAATTCACAGTAATTCTTCATCGTGGCATCAACACATAATAACAGTCGAAATGGATTAGGCCTATAAGTTAAAACTATATCGTCTTATATATACATGAAATGGTCTTCTAGTTCTAGACATTAGTTTCTGTTTGTCGCAAAATAAATCAAGAAATTATCGATTTCCTCTTCAAGCACGTATGTGTAGGCTACACATATTATTAATTCAATACATTACATACTTCAGACAGAAAAATATCCCTGTACCCAGGTTATTAATTACCTAAATACTTGTCGAACTGTGAGCTCCTTGAGAACATCTTTGAATGTTGCCTTTTGTTGTAAATAGACTAAAATTATGCGAAATGACTCAAGTTCAAGTTCATAGTCTCGTGAGATATTGCGTAGCTTGTATCATAGAAAATAATACTTCCGGAAAGATTTTTCCAATTAGAACTGTGTTATATTTTGTGATAAATGTATAACTTGTTAAACACTTACATATTCACTTGAGTATGAATGAGTATGATACGTAACACGAACGAAACAAAATTATTATTTCTACCGATATAAGTGGCTAGCGTCGCGAAGAAAACATTCCGGTAGGAACAGCTTTCATTTGCTGACAGAAAGAAACCCACCTCCGATATGACTGCTGACAGATAACAACGTGTTTTTCTCATCTGAAAAGTTTCCAGGATGTGTCTCATTTTAGGGCCACAAGGTGCTGGGAAAACTCTGTTCCTGAAAAGACTAAATACCTTTCGTATCCTTTACTGTTAGTCTTTGCGATGTCACTAGTTTTGACGAATATGCTCTAATCTACTGACACATTGTTATTTTTTCAGATTCAGACTTTGAATTGGTATGTTATAAAAACTAACAAAATCTCTTTTCTTTTATGTTGATACCCTTATTTTCTATGTTATATATCGTCTGGACATCGGTTCCGGACCGGGATGTATTTCGAAACTGCTATTTTGTAGAGTCGTATCCCATAAACTATTGGCCTCAAGTGATTTTGCACCCTGATAATTTTTTATTGCTGTGACATGCCACGCTTACATACAGAATAAAAGATGTGATTTAACCTCTTCACTATGAAATATTATGAGTATATATTTCGTTAACAGATTTTTTTTCTTTATACACATGTTACACGTCAAATATCCTCCTAGATAGGATGAAATAACCTATTAATTCATCTTCAGATGCCAATGTGTCATTGTCGTCTGTCATGTGAATAAAAATCTACCAAGAATTATAGACCACACCTCGCAATTTTTTGGCTACAGATGTCTAAACTTTCATGTTTTATATTGAAAAAATGATGCTTTATAAATTATCGCTTTTGGCGACTCATTTCCGATATTATTCAACTAGCGAGTTGTAGGCCGAGAGATACAAAACAAAATTTATTTAGATAGTTTGTGTAATAAAAGAGAAGTTTACCAAAAAATATGGTTCAATTGACAATAAAAAGGCTCAAACAATAAAAACTTGAATCTAACCCTTTAGAAATGATGCACACATAAACACAGATATCCACTTCTTTTGCACCATGTATGTATTTTGATTTTTATTTTCATCAAAATTTCATTCCTATTTAAATGATGTTTTTATATACCGAGGGTAATGCCTGTATAAGCATCTCTTTAATTAAGTGATGTAATCAGACACGGAAATTGGTGGATTTAGGAAAGGGTTAATATATAGAATGGGGGCAAGTTTATACTCCTTGTAGAAGGATAATGGTGTTGATAAACCCCAAAACGCAAATCCCTGATGAACACAACTGTCTTTGCTTTTCCTTAACATACTTTTAAGTTAATATTAAGGACCAAGACCCTCCTGGAGTGCCTCCTACAACTATACCCACAGTAAGTTGATAAATATCTTCTGGTATATGGTTTATAGTTTCTTTGTGAAACAACACACTACAACATTGTTTATGTACATGTTATATACATACTTAAAAGTACATAAACATATGTAATTAGAATCAATCATAAACCATGGTCATTAAAAGACAGGATTGATGATGAAATAGAATTTCCATGACATTTTACACAAACTAAGCTGCTCCCAGGCACTTATATTTCCACTGTATAGCATGATTGAGTTTGACAAGGCAGTCCCTCCCATTTTGACCTTTTGTAACATACTTTGCATGTCTGAGTGAAAACTAAAATAAGAAATGTGAAATGTGTGAGATCTGAATGTGCACACCTAATTAATGGTTCAGAGGTCATACATGTATTACAGGGCTCTCACACCCCATTTTGGGACTGGGGCCTGCAGCCCTTAGAATCGGGAAAAGTAATGGTGTTTTCCTTAGAATTGGGAAAACTTCGGGTCTAAATTGGGAAAAAAAGATACTATTTTGCATTGGGAATGGGGCCGAATATCAGCTGCAAATCTGGCAGATCAAGAGCCCTGTATTACCATTTAAGTAGCTGGAGTTTGATAAAAGAGACAGAATTCAGACTACTCCTAATGATATATTCATAGATTGATTCCAAGTATAAAAGGTAATATTGATATAAAAGATATTTTATGATATTCAGTCATAATTGGTTTAGAAGACATTATTAAAAATGATATACATGAAAAATTGATTAATCATACATAATAGATTTGTGAATTTGTTTCCCTTTGCACCATATTCAGGAACAAAAATTAGGTCACTGACTTTTCATTATGGTTTACTTACTGTTTCTCATGCTCATTGTCTGTACAGTGCCTTTTTCTGACAGTGAAAGTCCACCCTGACAGAATGCTTCAAGGTAGAAAGTGAAGTACCATTTCTAGCTCACAGTTTCCCCTCTGTTCTTTGAAATCTAAAATGAAGTACTATCAGAAACAAATTCAGATGAATTGTGGTAAACATGTGATAGATCTTCATGAATTGAAGTTTATTCATAAAGGTTGGGACCATTTTGGTGAATGTGATGGTGACCAAGAAACAGGAAGTGGTTATAAGAGAGGTGGGTGGAGTCATGAGTCCAATATGGCCCAAGTATATAAAGGACAGTTCCACTCTAATGGTAAGTACCAACTCATAACAGTATATTACTGGTTAGTAATAGTGAATAGACATCAATATCATTCCTGTTTATTTGTGTACACTGTAAATGGAATACAAAATAATTTCTGGATTTTGACATGATGATAACTGTTAATTTTTAAGATGTTATGTCTGTTTCATTGAGGGTAATGATTTGAGAAATTCAGAATTATTTGAAATTTGATTTTGAGATTTCAGATCATGTTACTGATATTTACATCATAAAACTGTTCATTGATTTTTAATCGACTTTCAGTTTATGATTGACATGTCTAACCGATTACAAGTGGCTGCAGGATGTATCCTGCTTCTTACCACTCTCAGTGACCAGGCACTTGTTGCTGATAAAGTTCTCATACTACTTAACAAGATGTAAGTAATAACTGTGGTAAACCTAGAAATTTGCACCAATCTGGTGAAGTTAACATGTAATACCTGTCATCTCAAATTGTTTCCCCAAATATGTTTTAGAATTTATGATAATTAAACAGATGTAGAAGGTGTTGTGAATGAAATTGGTGAAACGTTATTCATATAATACAAAATTTCACATTTTGCTATACTTTGTCAACTGTATATTTTTTTACAAGCCTGATGTTTAATTTATCAATGTCTTCTTCAGCGATCTGCCAACCTGCATGAGCAGATTTGAATTTGAATCTCTTTTCCGCATGGATGATGTATTACAACGTACAAAACTGCAGGTGAAGGTGATGGAAGTGAGTGCTCACACAGGTCAGGGACTCGGTGAAGTGCTGAACTGGTTATCACATGACACTAGAGGAGATGTCAGCTGATGTTCTCTCATTTTAGATTGTTGATTAATTTGTATTGAGATAATGTAATATATGGTTGATACTAATGTCTCACTCCAGTACTAAGTTCTGTGTAAAAGATAGATATCAACAGATTTTTTGTTAAAATTTCTTTTGTTTTAGTTTACAATCAAATATTCATAGATTTTGGATTTGGGAATTCAACTTAACTTTAAAACATTTTATTAGATTTTACTAAATGTGTTTGGGTTCAAAGAAGATAATACTAATTACTAAATATCTACAAACAGTAAGGCACTGTTTTCCTGTCATAGCCATAGCATTTGTCAAACTTGACACAAGCAGAGCAGGAAATCAGTTTATTTTTTAAATCTTTAACACACATTCAATCAGTTTTCAGAAATGACCTAATCTTTTTTTTATTTGGTAATTTTAAATACTTGTATGACAAATGTCCTAATTAACAAGTACTAGCTGACATAAGTGAAATATGGTTGGTTCTCTGGCACTTTGTCTTTGGGTATGTGCACTTGATGAACTTAGAAAGGTTTATTTTTGCATTAGTGAACTTGGATACAACCACTCATCAGTTAGTGAACTAGGATCATATATATATTTGTAAACTGTCATAAATCACTTTTACCAAAGTTCACTCTTATTTGGTAAACTTGGATACCCATGGGTTCAATCTTACCTTGGTGAACAGTGATAGATTCCCGCTTATCTTGGTAAACAGTGATAGATTCACTCTTACCTTAGTAAACACTGAAAGATTCACTCTTACCTTGGTAAACAGTGACAGATTCACTCTTTCCTTGGTAAACAGTGATAGATTCACTCTTACCTTGGTAAACAGTGATAGATTCACTCTTACCTTGGTAAACAGTAATAGATTCACTCTTACCTTGGTAAACAGTAATAGATTCACTCTTACCTTGGTAAACAGTAATAGATTCTCTCTTACCTTGGTAAACAGTGATAGATTCACTCTTACCTTGGTAAACAGTAATAGATTCACTCTTACCTTGGTAAACAGTAATAGATTCTCTCTTACCTTGGTAAACAGTAATAGATTCTCTCTTACCTTGGTAAACAGTAATAGATTCACTCTTACCTTGATAAACAGTAATAGATTCTCTCTTACCTTGGTAAACAGTAATAGATTCACTCTTACCTAGGTAACCAGTGATCGATTCACTCTTACCTTGGTAAACAGTGATAGATTCACTGTTACCTTGGTAAACACTGATAGATTCACTGTTACCTTGGTAAACAGTGATAGATTCACTCTTACCTTGGTAAACACTGATAGATTCACTGTTACCTTGGTAAACAGTGATAGATTCACTCTTACCTTGATAAACAGTAATAGATTCTCTCTTACCTTGGTAAACACTGATAGATTCACTCTTACCTTGGTAAACACTGATAGATTCACTGTTACCTTGGTAAACACTGATAGATTCACTCTTACCTTGGTAAACACTGATAGATTCACTGTTACCTTGGTAAACAGTGATAGATTCTCTCTTACCTTGGTAAACAGTAATAGATTCACTCTTACCTTGGTAAACAGTAATAGATTCTCTCTTACTTTGGTAAAAAAGATTCACTGTTACCTTGGTAAACAGTAATAGATTCACTCTTACCTTGGTAAACAGTAATAGATTCACTCTTACCTTGGTAAACAGTAATAGATTCACTCTTACCTTGGTAAACAGTGATAGATTCACTCTTACCTTGGTAAACAGTGATAGATTCACTCTTACCTTGGTAAACAGTGATAGATTCACTCTTACCTTGGTAAACAAGATTCACTGTTACCTTGGTAAACAGTGATAGATTCACTCTTACCTTGGTAACCAGTGATAGATTCACTCTTACCTTGGTAAACAGTGATAGATTCACTCTTACCTTGGTAAACAGTGATCGATTCACTCTTACCTTGGTAAACAGTAATAGATTCTCTCTTACCTTGGTAAACAGTAATAGATTCACTCTTACCTTGGTAAACAAGATTCACTGTTACCTTGGTAAACAGTGATAGATTCACTCTTATCATAGTAGACTTTGATAGGTTCACTGTTATCTATGTAAAAGTTGATGCATTCACATGTGTCAGCGACTTGAATAGGTTATTCACACTTGAACTGGTGCAAATGATAATACATTTTACTTGACAAACTTATTTGTCCAAATGTAGGTATATTTTGGTTTGAGGATATCATAACCATTGTTTAAATGGTCATTGATTAATATTGGTTTGTAAGTTTGATGTACATCTAGGTGTTTGTGTTGAAGAATGTCTTTGAATGTAACATTTTGATTTCAATTGACTTCAGGATTTATTTTGTTGTGTTGTTAGATTACTTATTAGCAGAATTATCAGAGCTGGGTTTGAAAAACTATGAAGTATTTATCAAAATACATGTATTTCAATTCTATATAATTCCATTGTGTTCATTCCACTGAAAAGTTGAACATGGTTAATACATATTGGACAATATCACATGACTGTGTACATTTTTTACCTGGTAACTCTTTGTGCTCTTAAGGTTTAACTATCTTTACTTGTCATTTGTATTTTTTTCACTCGCCTGTCTGATGGAAAATAGACGAGCTCATGTCATGGTGTAGCATGCATTACCTGCCTCCTCTGTCCTTCCATCTGTTTGGCATCATCTTTTACCTTTAAACTGATTCTTAAGAAAAAACACAAAGCCTACGGTGATGTTTTGCCAGTAGCATGTTAGGATAAATGGCTGTCAAATTATTGAAAGAAATAACCTTGACCTGCTTTTGTAATCACAAGGGTCAAGTGTGTCAAATGTTTGAATGACTCCTCTGGATAACTATGATGCCAAGACTCCTGATGTTTGGCTAGATTAACCCTGAAGTTCATGATTAGTAATGGGTTGAAGGGCTGCAAATTTCTTCTAATGATACCTGGACTCACTTTCTAAATTACAGTTGTTTATTTGCATTCTGGAAGAAAAAGCAGCAGCCTTAAATGAAATTGATACTAATTCTACCCCAAAATATTTCAAAAGTTGCAGCATAATAAACCATGCAATTTTACCCAATATATGTTATAAATGTGGAAACAAAGTGATATTTGATTTGTGATGAGAATTCACACCTAAGTCATTGAACTTGATGGTTGTAAGATATGTCCCTGTGTAATTTCTATATATTGTTGATTTTACACATGTTGGAATACCTTGTGATGTGTAATATATGTTATTTCTAAAGGATTAAAATATATTTTTGCTGAGTTTGTTGCTGGCTGCTTAGATGTAAAAAAAATTCCTTTCATTCCTGAAACACTCGTATTGATTATTTGAATTAAGAACAACAAACACACTGAAGACTTCACACAAGCTTTAAATAATATTTTTGATATCACATGAAAAATTCCTCCTTGCTCAATAAGTTGAACTAATTAACTGTTAGAGGAAAAAGTTTCCAGTATGGTGCAAGGTCTATATTGATATTATCATTTCATTGATAAGGTCTGTCTCTAGAAATAATTGAATATTAAGGTGAACTTTACAGGCCTTTTGGGCTGGTGGTTTAGCTTTACAGTACGGGAACTTGCAAATAAGGTCCATATACATCACTTTTAGCATGACCTGCTGAAAGTTCAGTCTACATGGTCTGTCCCCTTTACAGTAAATTTGTGTTCAAATAAGTATCTCTTTGTAGATAAGTCCAGACTTACTGTTCAAATAAGTATCTTGTTGTGTCTTATTCTGGATTTACTGTTCAAATAAGTATCTTATTAAGTCTAGGTCTGACTTATTGTTCAAATAAGGATCTCATTATATCTAATTCAGGACTTACTGTTCAAATAAGCGTCTTATTGTAGGTCTGTAGGTCAAATATTGTGGCCAATATCTTATTATATCTAGGTCTGGACTTCCTAATCCACCAGTTGATGATTATTGTGTAATTTAAGTTGGAATCAGTTTTATTGTATCAGTGTTAATGAAAACACAGAATCGGTCCCCTCTGGAACAGTTCATGTCAGAAGCATACTGATTTATTACACAAGAAATCTAGTCTTTCAGTGTGTGTCTTTGCAGTTGTGTAAGTCATTAATGACACGTCTAATCTTCATTATTTTTTACTTATTATATTTTATTAAAAAAGTTATTAATGTCATATATAAATGAAGATAAGACTCATTGACATTCAGCTGATTGATTCATTTACCATTATAAATCTACAGACATGTAAGATCCTTTATTTATTGTTTAGTGGCACTGTGTAAACTACTGGTATCTATAGTGACCATCTCACATAATTTCAAACTGTGGTGATAAGAAATCTTTCAGAAATGTTGTCTTTGTAAATTTAATGAAATAAAAACTGTATGTTTGTTTCTCGGTTCAATGGTTATTGATAACCATTACAATAAACATTTCGTATATTAAGTACTTCATACAAAATCAATTTTAATTGAAAATGTGATGTTCTCCTGTTCGGGCAACATGTTGTTTCAGAAGTGTATGTGTGAAGACTTTTCATGAAAAGGCCAGTTGTACGTTTCCTTAATGAAGGAACTATGTATGTAAAGTTGTGACTTGTATGTAATAAATCAGTTCTCTTTTTCCCATGCCATTGATCATTACTGAGTGTTGTCATGTTTTTGAAGTGTGCTTGAGATAGAAAGATACATATCAAACTGGTATGAATGTGATGTTGTGATGTACACTATGAATTATTATTTTTACCAATAATTATATTTTTAATGAAAAAACTATTACACTCAGTGGTTTAATTTTTATATAAAAATTGTGCATAATATTTTTTGAAATCTAATTTTGTATTGTGATGCCATTATTAGCCACTAGGATGCACATTGGTTGTAACAGCCTGGTAGTTATATAATGTGTTATTGAAATAATATCATCAGCTGATGATGATCTTATAATCTTGGTTTATGATGAAATTGTCTTGTTCTATTAATAGATCTTTGTAAATAAGAAAAAAATTATCATTTTAAAACCTTTTATTCA